AGGAAAGATTGGACCTTGGACCCAACTTACCTGGGACAAAGACACCACACTGTTGTCCTCATTGATGGCTTCATCGACAATTAATCGATTGGGACGGTTCTTCTGTTTAAGAATGGCTGTTGATAAGTCATCACCTTTTGAACTAGAAAGAGAAAATGAAGTTAGTCCCAATACATACTCCAGTCCCAGGGGCCCCACCAAACTTTAAAACTCACACTTAGGAAAGAAATAGTGGATAAATGAAGCTGTCCCTACACCAGAGAGGTGAGATAAAGGATATTCAGCCAAGGTCATATAGAGTAACATTTAGCACATACAGTTCCCATTCCAGCAGCTCTTGGTATTCTGAGCACTGGTATCCTAGCTATAAAGGCCCCAAGTGATCTTGCCCCGCCCCAGAGTCACGAAACTATGGCCTGAGAAGACTAAATAGAAGTAAAGGCTGAGTAACAATTAGAGAAATGACAATAGTCTTAGTATGAGATAGCGATTAGGAGAAGGGGCTCTGCAGTTAGACCTGCTGGATCTGAATCCCAACCCTGCCACTGCTTAATTGTGATCTTGGGCAAGTTACTTAACCTCTCTGGATGTTGATGTCCTCATCTGTAAAGAGGCGAATACAGTAGTACCTGTCTTAGGATTATTGTCTTAAGTGAGATAATGAATGCAAAATGTTCAACACAATGCCTGGCACATGGTATTAATGATCACAATGATTAGCACTGCAGAACAAAGCATAAGCTATTTCTTTGCTAACCTTGGAGAATGAAGTGAGCAAGACAACTTCCTGTAGGGCTCAGCGAGGCCCAAAGTCCCACCAAGCAAGCCTGGGGACAATGAAGCAAAATCATTAGCACTACCATCCTTACTGGCTAGACCAGCTGAATGCCAGAGCATTCTATGTACCACAGAAATGCCAAGCATAATATCTGGGGAAAGCAAAACAACTAAACTAACAGACCTGAAACCTTCAAAAAGACGTTCAAGCTCAAAAACAGCTTTACAAATCTCTGCAGACATGTAATTCCACAATGTTGGTTCAAAAAGTCAAAACCAAGAAATGATGAGATGTGGAACAAATCCAAATCCCTCACCCAAACCAAGGCTGCCTGAGTCCAAGCTCAGTTTAAACCCTCTAAGTAGTTTCAATCATTTCCTAGATCATTCACCTTACACCAACTTCTTACTTAGCTCATCTTCAACCTTCAGTAACTAGACTCAGTGGGCTCTCCCTCTGAAAAGCTACCTTCTCTTACTAAGGCCCAGGAAAACCTGAACATTAACCAAAACAGGGAGACCAGACAATGGAGAAAATGAAGAAATAAAAAGGAATCTTTTCCATTAATTATTCCTTCACTTAACAAATTAGCATGTATACATTACAGGCCAGGCACCATCCTATGATCTGGAAATACCTCAGTCAACAAAACAAAACAGTATTCCTGTTGGATATATCTTCACAACTTACAAGAAAAAAAGATGTCTGTACTCCAGAATACCAGCTAGGGAGTTGTGGGGTTTCTCCATCTTTTGGTTCTGATATACCCAACAGAAATACAAATCCCATTCATCTAACAAAGTTGTAAGCTTTCTGCTGATCCTCTCACATAGGCTGCATATTTAATCATCACCTTAAAACTCATTTCCAAGAGTGGAGTTTCCTCAACTTAAACCTGCCTCCTCAACCTAAAAGTGTTGCACTCTAGGCACAATGATGCATAGCAGGCACACTCCTCCAGTGCTTATCAACACCCTGGAGAACAAGCATGGTCAATACGGCAGCTGAAGGCAATTTAAACCCATCAATTCTCCCCTCTCTCTCACACATCAAAATACCCTCCAAGGACTGCCCACCTTCCTGTTTAATCTATGGGACTGGAGCTAGAGAAAAATAAAATGTCAGATGCCTCTAGTCATCATAGTTTGTATTTGTATTTTAACCCCAAAGCTGCATTCTAGGAAAACTTCTTATCCGCCTACCATTCCTGACCCTGGCAATGGAGATGAGCAGTATGCCCTTCCCTTAAGGTAAAGACCTTTACTTCCATATCTATCTACTAAGATCAAAGGAAGTAACCTCTAAAAGAGAGCTTCAGCCTGATCGTGGGCCAACAGCAGTCCTGGAGGCTCTTTGGGGACATCCCCCATTGTCTTCTGCATGAGTCAGGCCCTTTCCAGAACTCCAATGGGCCACAGGGGACTTGGAGGGAGTTCAGGTAAGAGTTATCAAGATGACCTAGGGGTTAGAAACCATCTATGATGCCAGGTTCCAAGAATTTTGAATTCTTATTTTCAGTCTTGAAAATAAATGACTGACTGAATAACCTAAGAGAATAAGTATTAATAAGCAATGGTCCTTTTAAATAGACATCCAACTAATACTTCATCTCGGTTTAGAGACTTAAAAAAAAGGGGGGGGAACACACCTCAAAACACTAAATTCTCTTCAAGTCAGGAAAGTGATTTGCATAGAAGAGTTTCCACAGGATGGCTTCCCCCCACCCCAGTACCTAAAGCTCTTGATTCTAAATATAATGGGCAGATGGGCAGAGGTGGTCAGCTTTTATCTGATGCTTTCCTGAGGGATGGAGGGCCCAAGATTTCTCAACACAGCAATCTGGGGAAAGGAGCCTGTGTGTTCAAAGAGTTAGGGCAACTCTAACCTTCTCACCACAAAGGCTCAAATCGAGGAAGGCCCGCAAATTACCAACTGAGATTCGAACTTTAGCAAAAGCCCAGAACAGTAGAGAAAAGTTCCTACCTCCCGCCCCCATTTCATGACATTAAAAAAAACTGACTAAAGCTTTCTCATACCAACCTAAAGTACGAAGAAGGCCAAAAACGAAACGCAGGGCCCGCTCTCTCCCTAAAAGCTCCTCACTACTCAGGTCGTGAGGATGTCAACCAAGGGCCAGGCCAACCCAGCTCCAAAAAAGCCGTGGTGAGCTTCCCTGAGCTCGCGGAGTCTTCCCCGCTCCGGCCTCCGCCGGTCTCCCGGCTCCCAAGGCCTTCACGTGGCCCAAAGTCCACGCCCACCGGGCCCAGTTTGGGTGTCGGGCCCGCTGGGCCTGCTCCCTCCGGGGACCAAAGGCCTTCGGCGGATAGTAAACCTGATCGCAGGTGGGCGTCCTAAGGCTCTGGGGCTCCGCGCCGGCAATGTGGACCCGCACACCTCACAAGAACAGGACAGCGGTTCCCAGGGAGCCAATCAGGCCGGCCGGGCCTGCATGACACAGCACGATCTGGCTCAGGCCCCGACCCAGGCCCAACGCAAGCCCGGCCTAGGGGGCGCGCGGCTGCGCAGCCAGGCCCAGACCGGACCGCGGCCCCTCATCGTCCCCCTTCTTCTCCCTTCCTTCTCTCCCTCCTTTCCTGTCTCCACCTCTTAGACGCGCCCACGGCCAGGCCCGACCGGGCCTACCCTGCGCGGCGAGTCCCCAGGTGCGCGCACCCGCAGCGGGCGGGCGGGCGCGCGCACACACTCACTCAGCTCCAGAGGCCATGGCGCGCGCCTCTCCCGGCCGGCGGCTGTGGCGGCCCGAGGGTAACGGCTACGAGGGGTGGCAAGCGACTGACTGGGCCGGGGCTCGGCTCTCCCGGGCAGGGGGCGAGCAGCGGCGACAAACCCGCAGACGGCCTCCTTCTCGCTTCCTCCTAGCGGAACCGAGGCGGTGGGCGGGCGGTATACACTGGCTCCTGATCCGGGAGGGGGCAGCGGCAGCGACGACTCAAACGACGGCTGCAGACGCTGCGCTGAGACTGAACCGAGAAGAGCCGAATCATCGGAAGGAGAGGTGCTCTCACCTCAGCCAATCAGCGCCTGCCTTGGGGACTCCCGCCCGCCTCTCCGCGCCTCTCCCCAGCAACCCGCGGACCAGAGCCAATCAGGAAATTCGCTTGCGGCCTGGCTCCCGCCTCAAGGATGCAACACGCCTAGTAACGCCACGTCAATTGGTCGCAGCGCTACGCTTCCTCGACGGATTGGGATCCGCGACCAATCAACAGAAAGGATGACGCCAGATCGACTGGCGAAAGAGCCTTTAATCCCTTGGAGGCGGACTCTCCCACTTGGCTCCAGTTCATTGGCTCCTGATTTTACCCTGCTGAAGAACCTGGCACAATGGATTGAACCCATGTATTAGTCTAGTCCTGCTGCAGTGATAACCTACATAACCCATTTCCTTCCCAAACCTAAGGCTCCACCCTAACCCCTCTCCTGGCTCCTTCAAAACGCTGGCTTCAGCCATCCCTACTCTGAACCCTTTGACTAGCACCCCAGCTCTTAATCCATTCCACCCTATTGTTGTGGCACCCTCTGGTAACCCTAATCCCATAGGCTTTACATTTTCCTCAGGGCTTGGAGGTCCATGCTTCCTTTTGCCCCTGGGTATTTATATTAGTGGTTAGAGGAGGGAGGACACTCAACTCCAAAAACGGGTCAAAAGGCAACTACAGAACACAGTAGATTCAACAGAACCCAAGTCAGCAAGAAAATTGCATGCTGAGACTTGAAGTCCTTGGGCCCCAAATGCCAGCTAGCCCTGACTAAATTCAATAAATAAATTTGGTATCATGCTGATTAAATTAATTTACCCTTTACCCCCTATCCACACAGACATGACTGACTGAGACAGTCAAATCCCAAATTTCTAGAATTTGGATTGGGGTAGGGAGTCACTCAGAGACTCAGAGGTCTGCTTGTCCCTCCCTTCTAAGAATCAAAAACCTGCCCTTGTCCTGAGAGGCCTGCCCAGACCACCTTCCAGACCCAGCTCCACTCATTCTGTGACCTTGCACAGGATCCTGGGCTTTGAGACTCTGGCTTTTAGGCAACAGAAAGAACCAAAGCCACTGCAAGGATTCCTGTGGCCCTTTCTTCTACCCAGAACTCAAATCTCATAAGGTAGATGATGTTGGGAGAGGGCATCTTAGATAATCACTCAACTGAATCAGAAAGCTGTGAGCCTTCCCACTCAAGTATATGTAGTAGGCAAACAAGAGATAAATATGAAATTTTACTCAACACAATTAAAAGGAGAACAGGGAAAAAGGTGTCATAAGCAAAGTTAATGCCTTTATGGTGGCAAGCGGGCTTCCTCTGGAACCAGAATGGCAGTAACTAGGCCAAATTTTGTAGGACTACTACCAACTTCTCCAATGCCAGACTTATATAGGAATAATTAGTTTCACCCACATCCCCCAAGAATGGTAAAGCAGAAAACCCCTCCCCCAGAGAAATGGGTGACTGGAGCCCCAGCTCAGGCTCTTTAAAATGTGGCAGCTACAGATCACAAGGCTCCGGCAGAGATGTCTGAAACTCCTCAAGAAGAGTTTCACGGTCAGGGAAACGAATCCAGCCCAAATAGGTTTCTAGGTACAGGGGGAGAGACCTGGAGAGCAAAAAGAGTGATGTCTAAGGGTGAAGGATAGGTGGAAGGTTGGGCAGCCATTCCCCCCTTTCATTCATCACCACCCCCAACAGACTCCAGGACTCCAGGATGCCCTCAGCCCCAAGCCCGCAGGCCTCAGCCTCACCATGCAGCATTCTCCTGTGGCAACTTAGTTTGGGCCTCTAGCCTCCACCAGAGAGCAGTAGCCTCATCCCTCCGATCCATCCTCCTCAGAGTCTGAAGCAGGTGAAAGGAAGCATCTTGATTACCTGTAGCCCCACCCCAGAGTAGAAAGGCTTAGAACTTGACACAGCCTTAAGCATTTTATAAAAGGAGAAACTGAGGCCTAGAGCAGGAAAGTATCTTTTCTACAATCACACATGGAACCAGGAGGTTCCATTCCCAACCATTCCTATCCCTGGGTACTGCCTGCCCAAGACAAAGGGCTCAGCTGACTCTGCTTCTCCCCAACATACTCCCAGCACAGTTACAGCCTTTGTCTCTGAGGACATTGGGAAGACTGAGGAACTCCGGAGAGTCTTCACACATACTTGCAAATGTCTTCAAACCTGGGTATATCCCTAGGTATATAAGTACAACCCCATTCATCTGGGAACATCACTCCTCCTCTGATCCCCAAGGGCCCCCCTATGAGCCTCTCTGTCCTTGTGCATCTGAGCATAGCTGATGTCATGCAAATATACATACCTGGGCACATTTGCACACTGAGGAGGAAGTCCTGTAGGGCTTTGGTATCTTGGCCACTGGCCACCCACTGCAGTCCACGACTAATCAGGGCAGCTGCCCGAAGCTGTTGTAGTGTCATATCTGATACACAACCCTTCTCACCATTGGAAGCAGGCCCTGGGGACCACCCCAAAGTCAAAAAGTGTGTCCCTGCTACACAGGCACCTAGTATGACAGAACCCCAAGTACTCCTCTTTCTCTTCTTATGTCTGGAGTCCCCCCCTCTTTTTTTTTTAAGTCTCCTGGTGGGCTAGGACGCATGGAAAGGCAACACATTCACCACCCCCACTTCCAAAAGGGAAGAGGAAAATTGAGAGTCTAGATCACCTCGTTCTTTGTCCTTAGGAGTGGCCCGGAAGAGCAGCTCAAGGCACCTGAAATGGGACACAGAATATGGGTGAGAAGTCAAACTCAGAAACTCTGGGGTGAGTTGGTAAGAATGGAGTTTACCAATTCAGATCCCAATCAACAAATTATCCCTCCATACTTCCCCTAGGATCCTGGTTGGCTTCCTGGGCTCACCGGCTAAATTCACTAATTGCCTCTTTTTGGGCCCCCAGCTGCACCCAGGCTTGACCCTGAAGCAGGTAGGTGGCAGAGACCCAGGATGGGCAGTGTGGTGACTCCTTGGTTCCTTTTCTGGCATCTTCCCACAGCTGGGGCATCTTGGGAAGCAAAGATGACGTGCGGCTGAGCAGCTCCTCACATACAGTCAAGGCATCCTGGGCTCGGCTTGCCTGGATCAGTGCTGCTGCTGCCTCTAAGAAGACCTCAGGTATACAAGGCCCTGTGGGGGAAGGGGGCGGGGAGAACTGGGGTGGGAGGAGGATGCAGTGTCTTAAAGAGACATTAGCCACCATCCCCAACCTCTTCACCAGGCTCTGGTACCACATAGAGACCACCCATTGCTTGCTACCCTGGACCCTTGGCTCTGGGAACCTTCCTGGTCTGGCCTTCCAGCCTGGACAGACAGAATAGCCGAAGAAAGAGAAAACAGCAGTCCTGCTCTACTCCAGAGGAGACTCCAACCCTCCCACCCCATTACAGAGAATCTTGAAGACATACCCACCTTTGACTCCAAGCCATCCAGCACCAGAGCCAGCAGGTCCAAATAATGCTCTGCAGCGTCCTCTGCCCTGAGAAATCATAGCCCACGAGCTTCACCTTAGGCCTTTGGCAGGGTCCTCCAAGGGCTCTTAGCTAACAAAGGGATGCTCAAGGGCCCTGGGGAGTGGGGAGAGTGGGGTCTTGGGGCTCCAATCCTAGCTCAGTATGGATCTACCCTCCTTACAGAATGGATCTGCGAGGAGATTTCAGAGTTCTAAAGATCTAAGAGCTTAGTGTCTGGGTAGAGTCTTAAGTTCAGGTCCAGTGACAAGGCAGGAGGTCGAGGAGTGGAAACCTATGTCCTACCACTGACTCGTCCATACAGCTGACTTGCAAGAACAGAAGCAGTCATACCCCAGGGAAGGCATCAGAAATGGGAAGAGGAGCTCAGATGAGCAAGGCAGTGGAACCTCACCTTCCCACCTGTAAGCATCGGCTTGCTAGCAAGTACTTGGCCTGGCTCTGTGTGCCACAATGAAGGGGTGAGGCTGGGTGAAGTCTGGGGAGTAATAACTCTACTTCAATGAGAAGCTGGGGGGCTTCAGAACTGTGAGTGACATTCAAGGCCTAAAAGGGACAAAAAGAAAAAAGTATGTCTATAATCTTTGGGAGCCTTAGTTCCTTCTATTTACAATTTGATTAGTCTCCCTAACACAAGCACTTCAGCAATCACTGTATCTTCAGTTCCTTACCTCAACCAACAGCTCCAGACTCTCCAGCTCTGCTGCCGTGTTCCCCAGTTGCTGATACAGCCTGGAGGCCTCCAGAAGTGGGGGACCCCAGGTTGATCCCCCTTTCAGGGCTGCAACCAAGTACAGCAGAGCTCTTTGTGGATTGCCCTAGAGGATTAAGAGGACACAAGCCTCAGCTGCCCTCCCAAAGCAGAAAGCTGTCTATAACACCCATGGTTTCCCCAACCCACCCTAGCACTGTCTTTACCATTTTACGGAGACAGGTCCCCAGAGCCGTGTACACCTGGACCAACACAGGCCGTGGGCACAGACCTGAGGCTGCTTCTCGCAGGCTGCTCAGTGCCCTGGGCAGACTTCCTGTGATCAGCTCCTGGAGGCCTGAGATCAATCAGGGTTTAAACTTAAAGAAGCCCATAGGGCAAGGGGATGACAGGGAACAAGAGTACCGAGAAGCCCCACTGAGCTGAATGGGACATGACAGGGAAGGTACGAGCCAAAGGACCCCTTAAGACAGGGAGTGGTGAGGAAGGGATGAGTAAGATTGCTAGCTGACCTTGGCGAAAGGCAGAAGCAGTAAGAAGGACATTCCTTAAGCCCCGGGCATCCTGCAGGGTCAATGGAGCATTTGTCTCCTCAGCTGGGGGGCTCCAAGTTTTCAGAAGCCGCAGCAGATTCCGAGAGGCCTCATTCTGAGGAAAGAAGGGTGATCAGACGCTCTAAGCCTAGAACTACTTCTTCTATCTCAGTCTATACTGGCTGGACCTTGAAATCAAGGGTCCTCCTGATTCCTGTTCCTCAATTCTAAGGTATAGATAGCTATGGGGCGAGAATAAAGGGAGGAAGAAAAACTTGGGGGCACTGATGATCTATTCTAGTGCACCTTCTCGTTCAGTATAAGCCCAGAACACACAGGGCAAGGACCATGTGCGGGTTACTGATGAGAAGAGTGAGGCTTGGAGATGACTTCAGCAAGGTCAATAAAAGCCCTAACCCTATCCAAGATCATTAAGCTATTTTATTTTATTTTTTTAAGATTTTATTTATTTATCTGACAGAGAGAGACACAGTGAGAGAGGAAACACAAGCAGGGGGAGTGGGAGAGGGAGAAGCAGGCCTCCCGCGGAGCAGGGAGCCCGATGTGGGACTCGATCCCAGGACCCCGGGATCATGACCCAAGCCTGAGGCAGACGCTTCACAACTGAGCCACCCAGGCGCCCCCATTAAGCTATTTTAAAAAACACTCAAGGGGCGCCTGGGTGACTGGGTTGGTTAAGTGTCAGATTCTTGATTTTGGCTCAGATTATGATCTCAGGGTCATGAGGTCGAGCCCCACATCCGGCTCTGTGCTTGAGTCTGCTTGAGATTCTCTCCCTCTCCCTATGCCCCCCCCACCCATGCATGCACTCCCTCTCTCAAATAAATCAATCTTAAAAAAACAAAAACAAAAACAACCACTCAAGAGAATCCCCCCAGTGAGGGACCAATCAGAGCAAGGTCACCAAGAGTCCCAGAGAGAACCCACGTCTTCTGACCACCAACCCAGCAGCCTTTCCAGCACAAAATGATGCTACTGCAGCTGAGACAGGTGAGATAGGAAGAGACCCTTAGGTCCAGTTTACTTCCCAAATTACCTGGTTGCCATTCAAGGTCTGCAGCAGGAAGGTCAAGTCCCCAAGGCAGTCAGTGCTTAGCCAGAGGGCAGCCTGCAGGCCAGCCAGGTGGTGAAGGGCAGGCAGCAGCTCCAGCAGAAGGGAGGAATAATGGAGAACAGAGTCCCACAGCCCCCTGAGCCCACATTCCAGTCTGGGCCCCAGCTGCTCCTGGGTCTCCAGCACTGTAGAGAACACACATACAGCTAAGGTTGGGACCTCACTCTGGTTTTCTTTTTCTGCAGGAACCCAAAGGTCACAAAAGTACTCCTGGTCTAAGGAGCACCTGGAGGATAAGAGAATGGCAACTCTGTCCATGGAGGTGACAAATTTTATTGCTCCTCTTGTCCCCTTTGCAAGGGCTTAAACCCAGACAGTCTGGCAAGGAAATGGAAAGCAATCGCTGGCCCTCACCTCTCTCCAAGCCCTGTTGAATATCCTGTGCCTGGTCCTCAGTGAAACCCTGGGCCAGGCTTGCCCTCAGGGTAATGAAATTGCAGGTAATAGTCAATTCCAAGGGGAGAACAGGAACAGCCGCAGGGAGCCCTGGAGCAACACAAGCTGATCTCACAGACCACTTCCCCCAGAAAGATTCCCCAAATAAGATCCAAACCCAAAGATCACCTCACCCCAACCAAAACGGCCGTTTGCACACAGTATGGAAAGGGCAGAAAGTTCTCCAGATTGGCTCATCTCTGAAACTACTTCTTCAAATATGGGGGGGGGGGCGTGGCAGGGAGAGGGCGGGGTGTAGAGATTCACCTGCACCAAAGAGAATTCCACTCCAGTCCTGTCTGTGACTTAAATAGGATCCCCTGCCCCTAGTAATTTTCTCAGTCCCAGAAGTGCAGAAGAGGACCTGGTCTCTGGCTGTGGAGGAAGGTAACTGAGCATCCTGAGGAGGATCCTGCTTACCCCGCAGACTATGGAGGAGTCCCCTGAACCCTTCCAGTGCATCTTGAGCCAACTGCTGTCGCCTCAGAGATAGACGCGAGTCCTGAGCCACCTAACAAATGTGGGAGGAGGTATCACTGAAGATCAGTCCTTACTTCTCCCCTTGCAACAGTGGCAAGGGATGTCATTCTCCAGTCATTTCTGGCTCCTGATGGGGGAAGTCAAACTCAATCCCTCCCCATCAGCTGCGGTAAATCCACCGGAAACCCTCTTTCTGGTATTTTGGGCCTGCAAAGCGAGGGTCCCAGAAACCGTGTTACCTTGGCCTGTCGAACTAGCTGGTCATTCTTTTCCCTCCACAGGTCTAGGCAGCTGGCGTGTGGCACTGAGGAGCCCAGAGGGGTCTGGTGCGACATGGTGGCCGAGGCTGGGCCCTGACACCTGGAGGGGGTTCCTGAAGGGTAAGCCCGGCCCCGCCGCGGTCCCCACCCGAGCGGGGAGGGGTCCCTGCGCCTCCGCAGCCCCCCGCAGCTCCTTTGCTCTCCTCGGGGTCCCAGGAGAGGCGACTCGCCCTTTACAGGAGAAATGGACTCTCTCCGAGACAATTTGGCGGCTCTCACCCCCGCCTCTTCCATCTCGCCTCTGGTTGGCCCGGCCGGCAAAACTCTCGGCTGCGGTTGGTCGTCTTCAAGGGTTAGTCCCCGCGGGAAACCGGAGGAAGAAACGAGTCCGGTCTCGATCGGAGAGGGAGGCTACGGCGGGTCAGAGGACGGGGGTGTGTCTGAGTGGGGAGGTAGTACGTCTCACGGTTCGGCTCGCTAGTCCCTCGTGCAGGCCAAAACCTTGAGAAATCGATCTCCGTACCAGAAACCGTGTCCCAGCCTTTCCCTCGCAGCCACACTTCCAGGTCTGTCTAGCTTTGCCCCTCCGCAGGGGGCAGGCCAGCGCAGTGCATGCTGGGAATCGTAGTCCGGCCCAGAGTCACCACAAAAAAACCAGCCCTGGCACAAATTACGTCCAAAAGGAACTGAGACCAGACCAAGGCCCTTGGTAATCCGCCCATCCTTTCTTTGCTCACCACGGAGCACCAACACGCTACCACATTTGCTCAACCCCATGCAGTCTGACCGCTGGCGGGATCGCCCGGGGCTTGTGCAGGCTTCACTGCTCAAAGGTACCTGCCCCTTTCAACAAGTGGACGCAGGAGAATTGGATATCCGTATGCAAAAACAAAACAAAACTGTGACCCTTAACCACAGATAAAATCAACTCAATATGGGTAAGTTGAACTTCATTAACATTAAAAACTCTTTTGCTACAAAGGCAAGATCAAGAAAATTAAAGTCAAAAATGTAGAATTTTCAGATTATTATATACCTCCTAACAGACCAGTATCCACAATATGTAACTCTCAAAGCTCAATAATGAAAAAAATTTAAACCATTTTAAGACGAACAGAAAAATATGAATAGGCATGTTACAGAAAAAAGATACATGAAACACAAAAAAGCAACACATAAAAAAATGATCATTAGCCATCAGGGAAATGCAAATTAAAACCATGAGATAGGGGCACCTGGGTGGCTCAGTCGTTAAGCGTCTGCCTTCGGCTCAGGTCATGATCCCAGGGTCCTGGGATCAAGCCCACATCAGGTTCCCTGCTCTGACGGAAGCCTGCTTCTCCCTCTCCCACTCCCCCTGCTTGTGTTCCCTCTCTCGCTGTCTCTCTCCCTGTCAAATAAATAAATAA